CCGCCGCTGGCAAACGGCGGCGGGCTCGGCTGCGCGTCGCAGCTGGTCGTGTCGTGCGACGGCCAGGGCAGGTTAATCCTGGAGCACCGCGAGCTGCTCAGCACCAAGCAGCTTGTTGGCGTGGTAGCCGCCGCAGGCTTCCTGGCTGACGTCAAGCGCCTCCATGGCGGCGGCGCGGGCGGCGGCGGCGGTGCGGGCGGCAGTGGCGGCGCGGGCGGCGGCGACGACGCCGCGGGCTGGGACGCAGCGGCAGCGGGCGGCGGCGACCACGCCGCGGGCCGGGACGCAGCGGCTGCGGGCGGCGGCGACCACGCGGAGCCGGCGGCGCCGTTTCCCCTTGTGGACGGCCTGCCCTCCTCGCCCGCAGGGCTCTGGACGGTTGAGGAGGTTATGCTGGTCCTGGGCGGCGCCTTCATCGCCACGTGGCCTCACGAGCTCTGCATGACATTCGTTTCGGCGGAGGTCTTGGCCGCCGTGGAGCGCGGGTACACCCCTGGGTCCGCGCTGCTCAGAGAGGCAAAAGGCGACGACATCATGGAGCTGCGGGCGGCCACTGCCCTGCTGGAGGCCGCTGTGCCAGAGGCTGGGGCCAAGCTGAGAATGGCGGACGGCCGCACGGTGGCGAAGAAACTGGACCCCGGCGAGGACGGCAGCAAGTGCATCCTGGACTCGTATTGCCGTGAGGTCGTCGCGGCGCTGCCGTGGCACTCAGCACCGACGGGCGCGGGCGCAGGCGGCGGCGTGGCGGCGGCGCCCCCGCAGCTGCAGCTCAAGGCGGTGCAGATCGCCACAGATTTTTTCATGGCAAACTATATCCCCACCTCGGAGGAAGAGGACGGTGAAGATGGCGGCGGCGGCGATGCGGGCGGCGGCGGGCCACCACCGGGTGCCCCGCAGCACGAGGACGAGGAGGCCGACACCGCGGGGCTGGACGACCGCAACTACGAGCTGCGCTGCCCGGAGTGCGGCCAAACCGACTGCCAGCATGGCGAACACGGCACCGGCCGCGTCGGCGTCGGCGTTGGCGGCGACGGCGGCGACCGCGGGCTACGCGACGGCGGCGGCGGTGACGTCAGCGGCGGCGATGATAGCGACGGCGACGGCGGCGGCGGCAGCGGCGACGGCGGCGATGGCGACCTTGAGGACCCGTATGGTGCACTTCTGGTGCTGCAGGGCAACGGGATGGTCAAGGAGGACGAGGGGAGGGTGGCGGAGCAGCAGGGTGAGAGCCCCAGCAGCAGGCGCCAAGCCGCCTCGCCCGCCGCCGGGGATGCCAGCGGCCAGCAGCTGCCCTCGCCTTCGGCGGTGCCGTCTGGCGCCGAGGGCCCCTGCGCCCCAGCCGAACGGGAAGACAGCCAGCCCCCGGAGCTGCCCCCTCACACAGCACGCAGCCCTGAGGGCAGCGGCAGCAAGCGGGGCCAGGCGGCGCCCAGCCGTGCAGCTGCAGCAGCAGCGGCAGCAGCGGCAGCAGCGGCAGCGGCGGGCACCGCAGCTCCAGAGGCGAAGTCGCCCCCTCACCTGGTGGCGCCGCACGTGGTCAGGGGTACACCGCTGAGGCCTGGGCAGCAGGTCAGATTCGCCAGCCGCAGCGGAGGCAACACGCGAGGAGGCGGCGCCGGCGACAGCAGCGGAGAGGACGAGTAGTGCGTGTGAGCATGTTCGCGTCAATTTGACCCATGGTTGTTGCAGTGCAGGCCACTGAGAGTTGGTTCTGACGCTCTGCGAGGGGCCTGCCTCGATTCTGCAGGCAGTTTGTACACCCGCCTTTGAGATGACCCACGTGCGCCAATGCGTCCCTGCAAGGACGAGCCTCTGTTTCCCCTTGATACTTGCAGTCCTTAGCAAGTTTGTAAATGGTGCCATGCTGCCTGTAGGAGTTGAGGCGTCAAACAGTCTGGTAAGGCGTCGGACGCAAGGTGCTGCCCTTTCCTGCCTGCTGTGACTGATCATGCACTGCAATACACAAGCCCTTGGACCAAGTGAGGCTGTTCAGGGCGACCACAGCGGCCGGGTGGTCGCTGTCCACGAAGGCATCCTAGCGCTGTCAGCTATTGTCAGTGGAGGGTGTGATGCCATTGTACACACGGCGAGGTGTGTTTCCTGTGCACAGGTCACATGACATGCAGACAAACGAACACAGGTCCTTGTTAATAAACTTGGCAATATGAAATTCATAAGACTCCTGTGCCTGCTTGCGCGGCCGCCGTTATGCCTGACTGATGGGACGCCCGCTGCGTCCTCTGTTCCCACAAATCCCTGGTTTATTTAAACTTGCTGTATTGCGGCAGGATGAAGCAAAGGGGTGCTGTGCTCTCTACTCGATGCCTTGGCATGTATCTGTTTACAGTGCATCACATCATGCCAGCGAGGTGATGTATCAGGTGCGGGCTTGGTGTGGAGGCAACAACGCCGTGCTGTGCGTGCAGCCGCCAACAGAGCCACCCGTCGCACGCGGAGCCGTGACAGTCCCCACCCTGCGGCTCCAGTGGTCCGAGAGCGGGTTCTGCCACGCCGCAGCAGCGGTGCTCGGCCAGGGGTTCCATGCAGGCTGTCGCTTGAGAGGGTTGCGGAGGGGCTCTCTCCACCCCGGATTTGCTGCAACCACGTCCTTCTATGAGGCTCAAAGACGGGAAGGGCTGTACTGCGCGGAATATCCCCCACAGCATGGGTTTCGCCGCACCCACGCGGGAGCCGTGACAGTCCCCACCCTGCGGCTACAGTGGTCCGAGAGCGGGTTCTGCCACGCCGTTGTGGGCGCAACTCAACCCACACAAGTTGGGCATAACGTGCGTCATTCCGTGCAGCCATGGCGTCCCTGATTCCAAGAATTATGTCAGACAACCTGTTGAGATGGTTGTGAGTGTTCAGGTATCAGTCAGTGGGTTGGCGGGCACTGTGTGCAGTGTAGCGCAGGCACAAGCGAGCAAGTCAGCAACAGCGCCTCGCTGCATTGACGAGGCTTAGAGGCTGCAGGCCATGCTGTGCGTCCCGTTGAGCCAGCTAGTGCCACAAACACGATCACAGTATTATCAAATCATTGCATGAGGTGCGTTATTCCTGGTCGGCGTCCTCTACGGGCGACGATCAGCCTGGGCTGTTTCGTTCTGTTCCCTGGCAATTGCTGATGCCGCGAAGGGCTGTAAGATACAAGACGCACTCCAGCTATGTGGCAAGTATTATCAGCGCGGTGTCGCGCACCTTCCTGATAGAAAAAGGGCCGTTAATTGTGATTGTCGCAGTGTCATCTATGCAGCAGCACTGGCAGTTGAACGTCGAGCAAGCATGTGCACGTCGTCATCACGCACATGATTAAGCATTGGTACTGAACATTCCTCCAACTTGTCAGAGACCGCGTATGCCCCTTGCGCCCGGACCAGGCGGGGCAGCAAGCCAAGCATACATGTAAGCACCGCAGACTATGATGTTGATAATTATGTTTCGGACCACAAGTGCTGATCCCTCCTCGTCATGTGGTCCTGCGCAGGCAACATCACAAGCAGCACAGCGTCGGCGGTCAACGTCGATGGGCCGACTTGCCATCGGAGCCGCTGGGCCGAATAATGGAGCGGCTCAAGGATAATGATAGCAAGGTGGCTGCATCTGTTTGCAAGGCGTGGCACGCTGCTGCGCGGGGGGCCGTGGTAGCCCTGCCCAAGGCGATCAAGCCCGAGGACATCAGCAGCGCAGTAAAGGTTTTCCCGGGTCTGAGCGAGCTCATCATTACTTACAAGGACTCTCAGTTCGGCATCAAAAACGCAGCCAAGCTTTCCTACGAGCTGGTGGCCGTTGGCCAGGCCCCTCGCCTTGAGCGTCTTGCGTTTGTCGGCGTGGTGAGCGCAATCAACGCCTTGGCGATGGCTGTGATGCGGAAGCAGCCGCGCGACGGCCGACCCTGCCTCGGGCGGTTGGTGGAGCTCCGGATCCTGGGCACGCCGTCAGATGATGACCCTTCTGGGCGGCGCGGCGACACCATCCCTGCTACAAAGCTCTGCGAGTTGGGCAGGGGCCTGCCTTGCCTGCGAATGCTCGCCCTGGACAACCCGCAGCTCGACGCGCCAAGCAAGGACCCTGCCCCGCTGCAGCACTTTGTGGCGCTCCGCCGGCTGGAACTGATTTGCACGCCGGCTGACAGCATTGGCAGGCTGGCGCGCAGCGCGCCACAGCTAGATCACCTCGCCTTGACAGGGTGCAGGATTCGAGACCTCGGCATCATCGGGCACCCGACGCTGCTGCGCCTGCAGGTGTGCTGCACACATTTTGCTGCTGCACGGGTTCCAGCCCGTTCATGTGATATTTATGTATTCAATTTGATGAAACCATACCTCACCACGCAAACAATGCCCAGGTTCTCGAGCTGACCCTGTGCAAAGCACTGAAGTCCCTGCCGCCAGGCGGCGGCCTGTCCGGCCTCGACACGCTCGTTATGAACGGGTGTCCCGACTTCCTGCCGGCTCTGGACTTGACGCTGCTGCAGGGCCTGCGACGGATGCACATCGACGGGTCTGGTCTTGGCTGGTGGATGACGGCACTGCCAGAAAACTTTGCGAAGCTATCGACGCTGCGCTTTTTGTCAAGGTTGGCCCTGTCAAATTATCCGCTCAAAGAGGTCCAGCAAGGGCCAGGTGCACACCCTAAAAGCACGGACGACGCCCTGAGATATGTATGGCCGTGCATATCCCTGCGCTACCTGCGCGTGCGCGACGCCGAGGGCATCGCCATCAAGCCGAGTATTGCAAAGCTAACGCAGCTCCAGGTGATTGGGCCCTGGGTTGATGGTCGCGCATGCACTCGATGAGCACGGCTTGTAGTAGTCCAGATTTAAGCCCTCATACGACCCCCTTGCCGCCCTCACCCTGCCTCATATGCCTTGCTTGCCGCCCTCACCCTGCATGACCCCTGCAATTAATAAATCCCATCATCCCTCTCGCCACTCCTGACTTGCCCAGACTTTGGACCTGGGTGGCGACGAGGCCCTCACCACCCTGCCATTGGGCACAGCCGATGCGCTGCTGGGCATCTCATCTCTGAACAAGGTGGTGCTCTCTGCGAAGAGCATGCAGCTGGAGCAGAACCAGCCCGAGCTGCAGCGCCTCCAAGCGGCGGCCCGCGCGGGGCGCATCAGGGTGCGCAGCGGCTGAGGCCAGGCGTCACCAACAATTTGTGTCGACCAGGAGCAAGGGTTTGTGTCTGCTTGCTGTGCCGCTGCCCTCTTTTATCATCTGCTTTGTTGTAACAATCAGAAACTGCCTCGGCTCTATGCTGATGTACTATTGGGGGAATCAAGAATGCGAGTGAATCTGGATGGACGACTCTTTGCTCAAGCCAGCTGCAGGGGTAGCGGTAACAGCAGCAGAACCAGCAGAGACCGCAGCACAGGAGCTCAACAAGCGGGTGCTGCTTCGTGTAGAAGTGACGCATCCGATCTTGACACCACACATTTCAGCACGTTCAGGTCACTAGTGGCAACGACCAACTCTAAGTGAGCCACGGGTCCACAGCAGCAGGGCTTTAATAGCTGTCAGACCAACACCTGCCGGCAGCGGCGCCTGATATAGCATCCTGATTTGCCTGCGCACAGGTGACACATCATGCTAATAAACAATAACAGGTCACTGCAAAAAAGCCCGTTGTTGATCATCAAGGCCCCCTTTTTCTGCAAAACTGACTTCCGCACACATGCCAACAGCAACAATGGTGCCAGAGCAGTCTTGACTTGTGCTCCTCTCATCACCACCCCCTTGTGCTCACAGGGCTGTGTTAATGCAGAAATTGGTTTGCTTGTCTCACGTGACAGCTGGCCAAGCTGGGGATGCTGCCGCCTCTGCTTGCGCGGCTACTGTCGCGCAAGACCAATGGGACGGCGCTGCTGCACCCTGCGGCACAACAACTCAAAGGCTTCTTTGAACATGCTACTCTGCAGCAAGATCAAGCTTGTGGGCCCTGCGCTCCAACTTCCGAAGTTTTGGGCATCGACTCAATGCCCAAAATTGCAGGTGATTTGTTTGTTTACACACTTTATTGCATCATGCCAACGAGGTGAGGTATGACGTGCGATGCAGGCTTTGTAGAGTGTCACAGTGCGCCATGCTTGAAGCCGCCCAACAGAGCCGCCCGCCGCACGCGGAGCCATGACAGTCCCTACCCAGCAGCGGTAGCCCGCCAGGGGTCCCATGCAGGCCGCCGCTTGTGAGGGTTGGGGAGGGGCTCTCTCCCCGGTTGCTTGGCTCCAGACAAGTCCTCCTCCCTCGGCTATTCGGCTCAAAAATGGGAAGGGCTGTAACGCCCAGAACATCCCCCACAGCATGGATTGTGCCACGCACACGAGGAAGCTGTGACAGTTTGCACCCTGCGGATGCAGTGGTCCGAAGGCGGGTTCTACCACTGTGTTGTGGGTGGAGTGCAGCCCAGACGATATGTGCGTGACATCCTGTCAGAGCAACCATCACATCCCTGATTTCATTGACCTTGTTGAGGCCGACCTCTTGTTGAGGCTGACCTGTCCACATGTTTGTGAGTGCAGTACGTGGGCTTGGCTGGCGATACGTGCAGGGTACGGTACGGTCGCGCTAGCGCAAGCAAGTCAACGACAGCGCGTCGCTGCATTGACGGCGCTGCAGGCCATCCTATGCACACCGCTTAGCCATCTTGTGACCCATACCGGATGGCGGTGGATACTGCAATCGTGCATGAGATGTTTTTTTTATCGTGGTCAACGTCCAACCGGAGCGCCTCGGGCTGTTTGAAACCGTAGTTCTAGTTCGACTATCCCTCGCTCAAGAAGTGCTGATGCCGCAAGAGAATGAAAGAGACAGAAAACATTGTATGCCAGCTGAACTTGGTGAGCATCAGAAACAGGGTCCGGCGTTTGATTGCCTGCAGTGCCGCTGCACGCTCATAACTCAAGATTGGAAGTCAGACATGAGACTGTGCTTGTGGGCGCCTTAGAACGTGACTGCATCAAATATCATAATGCGTAGGACCTGTGCTCATGCTGCTCATGGAGAATAGGTTGGATGTATAAATTTGATGTGATGTCATGCCATGTCAAGGTCCTGATGCCTGCTGAGAGCCCTGGATGATGTACTACACAAGCTTTGGAGCCACAATGAAGGGTAGCAAAGCAATGCGTTTGTGTCTGCAAACAACCCAGGAATTGCTGCTAAGTTTTGACACGCCCAGGCACCAGAACACTGGAACCTGATGTGAATTGCCCTGACTGCCGTCGATGGTGAACATGTGCATGTTTTGAAGTTGCGCTTATCAGCGGCAATTGATTCGGCTGCACACAAACGCAAGCTGACCGTACTGATCCGTCATACACGGCTGTGGATGACCGTTTGTTTTGCTGCTTGAGGTGCCGCTCTGTGTTGCCGCTATGGCGGCTTACCCATCTCCAAGAGCACTCGCTCTGCGTAGCGCAGCCAGCAAAGCAAGGCTCCCTCAGAGGTGGGGCCAACAGCAGGCCGAGCGCGCAGGACCGCCAACCCGACCAGCAGCACAGCGGGCTTGCAGGCTCAGCCACGTTGACACAACCACAGCTTTACAGCGGCATCCGTTTTAGTGCTTATGCGATTGGAACTCTGCAGGTGGCGGTGTGTGACCCTCTGGCAGTGTGTGCAGCTCCGACTCATTCACGATCGCCACAGCCTCCTCGACAGCTGTGCACGCGCCAGCATGCTGCGCGCCTCCCCCGCCGCCACAGTTGGCGCTGCATGTGAAGACCGCAATGCTGCACCAGTCCCACTGGCTAACTGCAGACAGCACTGCGTGGAGGATTGAGAAAAACGCAGGGGTCAAGTGGATCACGGCCCACAGGGGTACTAATTCCCACAAACTGGATACCAGCTCTGGACTGCAAGTGGCGGTCTATTGGGCATACTGCAGCGCCGCCACACAACCACAAACCAAGATCAAGCAGGAATGTGCGCCTGTGCGTCCCCACCTCGATCCTCTTGCGGCTCGGTCACTGCAGCTGCCCCGCTGCCTTTGTCGCCGCCCCTGGAGCCGCCAGCGCCGCCACCCTCGGCTCGTGCCTGCTCCAGCTGCGCCCCTTCCAGAAGCATCTGGATCAGCGCCGGCATCAGTTGCAGCTCGTACACGCGCGGCGCGCCGCAGGCGCCGCACGGCGGTGCCGACGGTTGACAGGGCAGCGGCCAAAGGGGGCTGCCGCCAGGGCAATACCTGCGGCACATTCGGCAAGGGGTGAGGCCCGTACCCAGCTGCTCAGTCAATGCACTTCCATGACATTTCACTATGACCTTCAAACCGCCCTCAAAATTCACACAGTAATAGAGAGGGCAGCAGGAACAACAGCCACGGCCTTGCACAAAGCCACGCGCGGGTGCCCATGCCCGCACCTGACGCACTGCAGCGGCTGCCGCTCCACCCGTTTGCTGAACTTCACGTAAGACCGCACCACACCACGCAGCTGCGTCGGCTCGTAGCCCTCGCCCGCCCACGACTCGGCGCCGCCATCGTCCTCCCCGCCTACACCACCCTTGCTGCCCCTCCCGCCGCTGGCCCTTCCACCGCTGCCAGCAGCGGCGCCGGCTGCCTCGGGTGTGCCGGCGGACATTGATGAGAGCAAGGCTGTAGGGGCGCCCTGGTCATCAGCAGCTGCGTGATAGCTGGCCAGAAGCTGCCGAGCGTGCTGCATCTCACGCTCGGGTACGACGGTGTCTGAGTTGGTAAACGGGACCAGGGCCAGAGCGGCGGCCATGAACGATTTGGCACTGTGCAACCAGGTGTGCATGGCAAGCTTGGGTGCCATGCATGCTACGCAAAGGACGCAATCCACCATGCCCGATGCCGGCTGCCCGAAACCCCAGGTTCGCACCTGCTGGTTCTTCTTCAGCGTACACGTGGAATTCCGGCAGCCGTGAGCCTGCCTCGCCGCCACAGCTGCCCACCAAAGTTGCATCGTCGGCGCTCTTTTTGCCTGCAGCTGCAGGAACGGCGTGCTTTGCAGCCGCCTTGAGCCGCACCTGCCCCACAGAGAGGTTCGCCGCCGCCAGCTCCAACGCCGATGTCAGGCCTGCAAAGCCAAATGCGCTGATTTCATCCGAACCAGCACCAAGTGCGCCACCAGTGAAGGCGCTGCCGCCAAAGTCGCCGTTGCCAAAGGCGTCGCTGCCCAAGCCCCAGTCATCGTCGTCGCCATCAAAGCCAGGGACACCGCTGGGCTTCTCCTGCTGCTGCTTAGCTACATCTTGCTGCTGCTGCTGCTGCGGCTGCTGTGGTCGCACCTCCAAACCAAGCGGCGCGCTGCCGGCAGGAGGCTGCTGCAATGAGGGGGCGACGACCGCCGGTGCGAGCTGGCAACGCCACGCGCGCCAGCTGCCAGGCTTGCGAGCACACTGCTCTGCTGTGCACCCAAAAACGAGGAGGCAGCGCGCATCACAGGCGTCCGCTGGCGAGTAGGCCTGCACAGGGCGGCGCGGAGTGCTGTCGGTCAACCGGCTTAAGACAGTCATGCATGTTGGGGCTGCAGCTGCCAACATAAAAAATCACGGGTGCAAGTAGCAGTCTGTGCTGACAGCAGAGCAATGGGCAGGGCGGTTGCAGTGTATGGAAGGGGAACTTCCTATACCGCGAGTACAGGTGCACTCACCGTGCACCTGCATGTGGTGCCTGCAGAGGCTGCATTGCGCAGGCTCCAGTGCAACAGCACGCCACCAGGGGCTGCTTGCTGAACTCAGCGGCGCACCTGCAGGACAAGCGACAGCGGCGCACTGCACACGAGGCACTGCACGTCTGCAGCGCCCAGCGGCGGGCGGCAGCCGGGGTAGTGCGGCGTGCCGCCGCACTTGGTGGCGTGATGGTCGAGCACCTCATCTGGATCGACCATCTCGCCGGCTAGACCTAGCCACACCTTGTGGCCCGCCATACCGCCGAGCGGGCCAGATCAGCGAGTATGACTCGTCGATTACAACGCGTGTCAGAATGGACAATGTATAAAACATTCTCACATGGCTGGCTTGCAACACGGTACAGGCAAGCTGGGCATGACTCGACGAGTGCAGTGACACTTGTAGTGACAACTGAACAACGCTGATCAGCTGGTTGCGTTGCAGGACCATCATGGACAATCCCGGCTCACACACATGCAGATGCGACGACAAAAATCCTGAGTACCCTGCAACTGAAATACTTGTGCTCATGCATGCACAGAAACTCAATGCATACGAAGTATACGAAGTGGCATTTGGAGGGGCTGCTTGCCAAGACACTGAACAGGGCGATGGGGCAAGCAGGAGTGAGCGCCACGCGCACAGGGTAGCCCTGCCCATTTGCTATCCTTCACGTTTGATTAGCTCACACATCATCTAGAACACAAGATAACCATGTAAGCTGGTGTCAGAGCCATGCATGTGTCACTGACTGTTCAACCTGGTCACTCTCAGCAGCACGAGCAACCCCAGGCACTTGCAAACTGCATGGGCACGCGAGCGGCTGCTCCTGCCTTCTTGAACCTGTCTGGTACATCAAGTAGTTGTTGAGCAGTAAATTTACGCTGCCCTGCAAGCAGTGCGCCGCTGCTTCTGCGTAGCGTAACAGCCCCAGTCCACCCTGTTGCTTCATCGGGCCCACGAGAGAAATTCACAAGGTCTGCTTGCATTGCAAGCACACCTTACGGAGCAAGAACCTATTACAAGCCTCAATCAACGTCAATGCGGACGCGACCCACAAACTCTGCCTCGATCAGGTACTCCAGTGCTGCCGCATTCCCTTCAAACTCCAGTGTCCATTCCGAGAGGACGAGCCTCGTGAATGATGCCGTGCTCAGCAGCGCGGCAACCGCCCCCGTAGATAGCTGCCAGACGGCCGTATCCCCACCCAGGTCCAGGGACTGGTTGTGCGCAGGGTGGTTGGTTGTTGTGTGGATGTGAGGTGTTGGCAAGCTTGTTGCTGCGCCCTGATCAGGCCTGTTGGATGGGATTGGTAGATGTTGCAGCAAGCATACGTGCCGGGTGCACATGCGTGCATGGCAATGTGGATGGGTCAGCATGCGCACCGCCCAGTCCAACCACCTGGAGCTGAGTCATGCTGGTGACGCTGGCCTTGAGGACGACGCCCCCAGCGTCGCGCACGGTCAGGTGACGCAGGGATGTGCAAGGCCATATGTACCTTAGGGCGTCGCCCTTGCTTTCTGGGGGTGCACGTGGGCCACGATGGGCCTCACATAATGGATAGTTTGATAGGGCCAATTCTGACAGGGTGCGCAATGTGGACAGCTTGGCAAAATTTGGTGGCAGCGCGGTCTCCCACCAGCCAAGACCAGACCCGTTGATGTGAAGTCGCTGCAATCCCCGCAGCAGCGCAAAGTCCACAGCCTGTAGGAGCGCAGGACACCCATTCATGACAAGCTTCTCCAGGCCAAACAGCCCGTCGCCAGAGGGCAGAGAGTTGAGCGACTCGCACACCACAAGCTCCAGGCTCTGGTGGTTTTTGTGGGTGGTGAGGGCAGCAAACGTTGGTTGCGCTGGACCCCAAGCCAACAGGGATTGGTCGATGGCTCTCCCCTTTTGCGTGCATCATCGGCAGTGTGGCCTACTGATTCAAAGCAGGCAGCTCCCTTCCATCAAGCAGCCCACCTTGAGGCGCCGCAGTGTCGCGTGGCCGAGAGTGGTGAGGTCCCTCAGCTTACACTCGGTCAGCGTTAGGTGCTGCAGCCCAGGTGCGCTGCTCGCCAGCCGCACGGCGCGCTCAGGCACTGTTCCAGCCAGCCGCAACACCTGCAGCGCCGTGTAGTGCTGCAGCGGCGCGGGGTTGCGCTGTGGCGGCCCCAAGTCGGGGTTCTCTAGGGTCAGCACCCGCAAGCAGGGGAGACTCAATCCCAGCTCGCATATGCCGCTAGCGACGAGGGTGGCAGGCCTTGTCTTGCCGCGTTCGATGGCCTCTGGCAGCACGCGGCTGACGAAGCAGAGCTCCACCAGCCGCTCAAAACACACCCGGTCTTGGAGCCGCTCGCGGCGGGCAGCCACTGCAGCGGCGATCATGCCGCGCGCCATGCCAATGATCGTGAGACGCGTCAGGTGCTTCGACTTGCAGACTTGCGCTAGCTTGTAAGAGAGCGCATTTGCGTCGGAGATGTTGAAGTAAGAGCCCTCGGACGTGATGGTGAGCTCGCGTAGGCAGGGGAAACCTTCAACTGCCCGAGTCATGTCCTCTGGCTTGGTCGTCTTGCCCAAGCTCAGAACAGCCTCGCATGCGGCGGAACACCATGTCCTGCAGGTGCAGGAGGCGCCCAGGCCGTGCTCAAGCCCAAGCTCTGCCATGATGCGGCTAAGCGGCTCCAGCGGGAGGTCGGCCCAGTCACGTTGACCAGCGTCGTGCTGATCCAGATGGGCCCTGCACATGGAAACTTGAATGGCGTGAGATAACTTGATCCGATTAAAGATACGTGCACCAGCAGTCCGGCAAGGGCGCTCACATTTTGAATCGTCGATCTAGCCACACTGCAGTACGATATAAACGCACGCGGCGACAGTCACGACGAGTGAAATTGTAGCTGAGCATCAGGATTGACACCAAAGCCATCGCTGGACAAGCAAATATGCCGTGTGGGTCTGAGTGGATGAGTGGAAGCTGCCAACGAGCGAAGATGCCAGCGGAAACAATTATCATATATACAACGTACACCTGAAAGACGTCATCATGCAATCAATACGGCGTCATCCACCGCACTGATCACACCGGACATCGCGGTGAGGCTTGTCACGCCAGCCTTCGGTGCTCAGAGTGCTCACCCAGCAGACAGCACTCGCACAGTCTTCGCCCTAGAACGGCAGCCCAGAGGAGGGGGGGTATATAAAGATTACGACCTCGTTGGCTTGTTTTGGTGCTCTAGCTGTCGCATCCCAGGTTCGCTAGCCTGCAGTCAGCAGCGATGGCGGCGGTTTTTGCGCTCCGCAGCTGCACCTTGAGCCCCACTTGCGCTGCTTGATGATGGTGCTGCGTGCCCATCTCATTCCGGCCCCGGCCACTTGTGCCCCATGAACTAACCTGCAGGTTCGATGGCTGCTGTCCACGCCGTACGCGTGTTGAGGCGCAGCGTTGGATATCTGCGGTTGGCGATCCCCACCATTTCATCACTAATGTTTTTGAAGGGTGGGTTTGTGGTGCGTGCACGCGTTGCTGCGCGAGACCTTGAGGGCGCAGTGCAGTCGCACTATGCCTGATCTTTCGGTGCACAGCACGCTTACTTGTCTGGTGCCCACGTGGCCCTCAGCTCTAATGGGTCCCTGTGTGGTAGTCAGGCAACCTGGTGGGGTTCAGCTCATGACAGCCTCATCACAGGTGCGCATGCTCACGGCTGCCTTGTAGCAGCCTCAAGATTCGATGATGAGGTGCGGCTCTACGGTTGATACCCACGCTGCTATCCACCTGCGCTGCGTGATCAGGACGGGAAATGGTCCGCAGGTTCTCTGGCGTCACAGCCTCTCAAGCGGGTTGTGCCAGCTAGCAGGTCAAACAAAATCCCCACAGCCAGCCCGCAGGTCGACTGCAACACCACTGCCAGCAGGTTACCAGCCGCTGCACGCATAATACCCCGCTTTAGGACCACTGTTTCCTACAGATGGGTTGTATGATGTGCATGCAGGCAGAGCCATGCTGGTCAGGGTCTGCAGTACCCGCATGTGTTTTGTCAAGCACAGTCGCACCGTCGATCGACAACGCCTTGTCACAATTTACAGTACTGTAGGCTGGGTTCAACCCCACAATGCCATGCTTCTTGTGCGAAACGTGCTTGATATCAGCAGGACAGATGGCTTCCAAAGGTCAGCGTTGAAGAGGGTGTGCTTTAGTATCAAATCGGCTGGGCGAGTTCAGCCCAGCGATGTGTCAGTCACAGGGGGAAAAGGCGGGAGTCGTGGCCCGGCCAACGCGTGCCTGCATTCTGGATGCAGCTCTCAGATCAACATGAATATGACAGCTGGCACTGATACAGGTGCGTGTACACAATTTATAAACATTGCCGATTGGCAGTACAAACATTGCCCGTTGTCTCCAGCAGCACATACAATCCTGCCATGCAGTGCAAAGAGTCTTTCAGCACTGCGAGCAACAAATGTTACGGTACATGCCACTTGTGTGGGTGCCGTGGAGGGCAGGTGTTCCCCAGAAGCAATGTGAAAATAAGGCCTCGCTGTCACTGAGGATGTGCTCGCTCTGCCTGACCTGGGACAAGAGCAGTTGCCCAGCCTGGTAACGACGCCGATGGACGCCTGTCTGTTGGCTGGTTCGTTGCTACACTATATCTAAAACTATGTTGAATGTCTGCCCCCGCATCACGCGCGGTCTCTCGCCATGCTGCACCGCTTAATTCAAAAAATGACTGATCTACATGTGATCTCGAGCTTGATGCCGGAACGTCACGGCGCAGTGCTATGATGTCAATGTTCCAATGGTTTCAAGTAGTTCAATCGATTGAGAGGCGCGGCCAGCGGCAGCTCAGGTCGGCGCGCTGCTTGCGCGTTACTGCTGCACCTTGGCTCAGGAGGTCTCCCGTCCTATTGCTGAAGTGCACAAGTTAACCTTGCAGGGTGGTTACATCAAGATGTGGGCTGCCACGTGGCAAAAATTAGACACGGAGCAGCTGCGGGCGAGCCTGGTGGCAAGCGCCTGCACCCATGATCAGCTGACACTGGCGACACAGGTCAGGCGTCTGACTGCATGATGCCGGGATACATGCCCTGTGCATGCTTTCCTGGGGCTCCGGCGGCCTGAATTATCACTTTTCATGCATTGCAGCTCCATAGTACCGGCACCGCAGGGGCACAGCAAGTTGTTGGCGTCAACCACAGCCCCCACCACGTACAGGTGGTGACAGCGTGCTGTGGCGCGCTCGCAGCAGGCGCTTCAAATGCTGGAAGCCGAGAGAATCAGGCAGCAGAGGCTTGCTCGCAGGTCGCGGTGAGCCTTTGAGATTTGGACTGCAACAAGCACAGAGGCGTGGCGCGGCCGCTGCCAGCTTCGCTCCAAAGCACATGCTTGCATCAGCCAATAAAAGGTCTCGTAGAAAGCCCCCAAAACAAGCTCTAGCAAACCTTGTGCCCTACACCTCGCCGCCGCAGGACGTGAGCCAGCTTGCCGCGGCCGCATGCAAGGCCCTCGCAGCCGCATGCGACGCCGAGCCCCCACACCCCGCGCCGGAGCCCGGCCCCACGCCGCAGCTGCGCATGGCGTCCGTCGGCCGCTTCTCGTCAGCCTGCCTGCGCCTCGCCAACGCCCTCCTGTGCTGCGCCGACGTGGCCGGGCCGCTGGTCGATGCAGGGCAGCATGCGGCCGCCGCGGATGCCGCAAAGGCCGGCGTGAAGCACCTGGTCGGCGCCCTCGAGGCGCTCTGCGCGCGGCGCCTCATGCCGGACGCCCCATGCACGGCGCTCGACGGTGCGGTTGGAGGCGAGGAGGCAGAGGGGCGCCGGGAGCTGTGCGGGGTGGTCGCGTCGGCCTGCGAGCAGCTTCTCGAGCTGGCGCTCTCAGCGACTGCGCTGCTGACAGGGCGCGGCCCGCCCGGCGCGCCGCGCGAGATGGTCAGCCTTGCCACCCTCAACCTCGGCTGGAGCAGCCTCGGCCGCCTGATGGTCGCGCCCCCGCCGCCCGCGCGGCTCACGGCCGCGCCGCCGGCGCTCGTGCGACGCGCCGCGCGCGCGGCGCTGCGGCAGCTCGTCGCCGCGGCGGGCGAGCTGCGGGCGCCGGGGCAGGAGGGGCGGCTGCGGGTGGTGCGGTTCTACCTGGGGGTTGCCTTGAAGATCCTCGGTACGTCCGCGAGCGCGACGCGCTCGGCCGCCTGGGCGCCGCTCGTCTCTGCGGCGCTCTCGCTCCACGCGGCGGACCGCCGAGGCTTCGCGCCCTCCGAGGCGGCCGCGGCCGGCGCGGTGCGCGAGCTGCTGCTACCGAAGCTGGCGGCCGCGATGCTGGGGGCGCTGAACGAGGAGGGGGCGGGCCAGGAGGAGCTCGAGGCGCGGCTGCGCGACGTCGCTGCGGCCGCGGAGGGGACATTGTCTGACGGCGGCGGCAGCGAGTCTCGGGAGCAGCAGCAGCAGCAGCAGCAGCCTTTTGCGACAGAGGAGGAGGTGAGCGAGTGGGAGTGCGAAGAAACGGACGCCTCGGTGCGCCTGCAGGCCGGCGTGCTGCTGGCCGCCGGCCTGCTGCAGCACGCGCCCGCCATGCGGCCGCCGCTCGCTGAGGCCGCAGCGCGCGTGCTGCTCCCGTGGATGGTGCGGGCGGCGGGCGTCGCAGCGGCAGACGCGCTCCTGGCGGAGCACCCAGGCGGGCTGTGGCGGCACGTGCGGTGCGCGGCGCTGGCGTTCTTGCTGGGCTGCGCCGCGGGCGGGGCCCCGCTGGAGGCGGCGTGGCGTGTGGGCGTGCAGTCGCTGCATCTCCTGGGTGAGCGCGGGTGGGGGGGGCACTGGGGCACAACGAAGTGTCAGATGTTACTAGCCTGGATGCGCAAGCCATTTCGCTGCCTGTGTATCTCAATACGCGGACGCACCCCTTGTGCACGCTGCTGCGCAGCCATGAGCCCCCACCCCGTCGTGGCGCGGCTGGCAAGCGCCGTGCTGTGCGGCGCGCAGCAGGCCAGCGCCTTGGGGCCGCAGGAGGAGCAGCTGGAGGCTGCCCTGGGGCTGCTGGATGAGCTGGCAGCCGGGGAGGCGCTGGCGGGCGCGTGCCAGCTGGATTCGTTGGGGCCGGCGTCGCGGCTGGCGGCACATTTAGCGGCCATGTTGCAGGTTGGCTTGGGCAATCGCGCGCGTGCGTGTGTGTGTCTGTGTGTGTATGAGTAATGTGTGTTCAGCTCTGTGTATGTGTAAATGTGTGTGTGTGTGAGTGATGGCCATGCACTGGCTGGTAGTAAGCCACATGGCATGTATTTGTTCTGCTATGCACCATCTGTTGTGATGACGGCCTCTCGCCAAGAGATTGGCACACCACGCAACGCGTTGCCCACAGGCGTGCGGGCCATCACCAGCAGCCCAGTGCTTCACGCAGCAGCGGCTCCTATCGCCCCCTCCGCCGCCGTTGGACGCCTGTGCGGCTGCCGTGCTGGCCGGGCGCGTGCACGTGGTGTGGCTGGCACGACCGCCCGATGAGGCGGACACATCCGGGTTTTTCAAGGGCTGCCTGGACCTGGTGATCAGCCAGGCGCTGCCAGTCATCGCCGTGCTACAGCAGCATCAGCAGCAGCAGCCTGGTCTGAATGCTGCTGAGCTGGCGCTGCTGGAGGCGCACCTGGGTTGGCTGCTGGAGGGAGCGCAGCTGGCGGCGCAGCGGGTCCATGACCGGCCGGGGCAGGATGCTGCAGGTGGGTCGAGGCCGCTGCAACGTGATGCTCATGCGCCGTGCCGTGGGCTCACCTGGTGCTGTGGTCAAAATAATGCGCTGCTGTGTGACAACAAGGCGCCTTTTGACCATGACCTGCCGCCACGCTCGCAGCAACTGCTGCCTTGCAGCAGCACTCGGCAGCGACGGCCCTTTCGGCCCTGGCGCTCCCGAGCAGCGGCGCAACCGTGGCGCACCCGGGCCCCCAGCGCCCCGCGCCGGCCTGCTACGTCGCGCCGGCGCTGCGCCTGGTGGCCGCTGCCGGCTCGGTGCTGCAGGCGGCGGCGCTTGAGGGCCTGCATCAGCCCCTGGGATTCCTGCTGCAGTGGGCCGGCCAGCAGCAGCAGGGGTCTCGCGATGGGAAGGGCGGCGGCCTGCTGGTGGACATCGCAGCAGCCGCGGGGCGGCTCGGCGGCTCGCAGACGCAGCCGCAGGTGAGTTCATGGCCCGCGCGAACACACACGACTCGGTCATCGTGCGGCAGGCTGCCCCCACACGCCCCGCGCACAAGGCCGCACAAGCATGCCAAGCCTGGCTGAGTGCGCGCGCCGTTGTGCCACCCCGCCCCTTGGCCCCTGCAGGCGCTGTTCCGCCACCTGCTGTCCTGCCCGCACTGGGCCGTGCGCGCGGCCGCGTTGGACGCGCTGGTGCTCTACTCCCGCACCAGCGCGGTGCACAGCACCTTCCTCGGCCTGATCCCGCCGGCGTGCATGGCGGGGCCAGACGCGGCGACGCTGGCGTTTGTGGCGGTGTTCAAGGCGCACATGGGGCGCAGCCAGGATGAGGAGGTGGGGTTGGGGGAACCAAGGGGAGGACGGGCTGAGGCAGCAGGGTGGCGTCAGATGTTTGTGGCTGGCTTGAAGGAGGGCGTGGACCCAATGCCCGCGACCCGTCATCTGGCGGGGCGCAACAGAGGCAGAGGTTCAATGCACGCAATCGTACATGCACGCATGCATTACACATGTATGCCCGCATGCATCACGCACTGACGCCTGCGCCCTTGCCAACGCTCGGGCCCCCCCTCGTGCTGTTCCAGGCGCAGCGCGTGCACGAGGAATGGATCAGCAGCGGCGGCCTGGTGCGGCTGCGCGACCAGCTCCTCCCAGTGGGCCCGCACGGCGGGGCCGGCGACGGCGCGGCGGCAGCAGCGGCGG